GGGGGGGGGACTACGCTTGGTTTGGGCTGCTTCCTACAAAAGGCCCTTCCCATCCCATAATACCCCCCTGCAAGGAGGAGGGGGGGGGCGCGGGGTCTTACCTGGGGGGGATCTCCCCCGTGGCTGCCTTTGGCCTCACCCTTAAAGGAGCTGCCCCCTCTCCGCTCCCCCCTCCCCTCTCCCAGGGAGAGAGAGAACAAGGCAGCTGAGCATGGAGGGTGCAACCTAACCCTGCAGCCCCTCCAAGCCCCGCCCACCCCGCCCGGCCAGCGCTACGGAGCCGGCGGCGCGTGTGGGCGGGACCGAACCAGCAGGTTAGGCTGAGAGCCTTCCAGGAAGTCTCCGCAGAGGGGGGAGGAAAGGGCCTTGCACTGGTGGGGCTGCCCGCGGCGGTGCCTCAGCGGAAAGCCGCCACTCCGGACTCCATTTGTTTCCCTCCCCTCCTTGCAGAAGGCGTTTCATCCCCTCTTTCGTCTGGGACCCGTGCCGGGGGCTCATTTTCCTATCAACCCTCCTTCCAGTCAGGCAGCAGCGTGGACACCCGTGGAGGGAGGCCATCTTGGATTGGCATGGATGCCCTCTTTTGGGGGGGAAAGGGGGTTTAACCCCTTAGGGGACACAGTGCTGACCCTTCTGGGCACCTCCCTCCCAGTGCCCCCCTGTGCCCCCTCCAGAGTGCAGCACCCAGCAGGCAGATGCATGGCCAGTGCTGGGCATGCAAAACTCATGAGTCACTGCACCCCCGCCTTCCAAAACTAGCACCAGTTTGGGACTGACACACACAGGGTTGGGGTCTAAACCGCAGGGAGACCCCTCCGGAGGAAAAGGAAGGGGGTTCGGACAGCGGCGATGGCGCTGAGTTGGAAAGGGCACGGAGTCGGCTTCAAAACCCCTGGGCTTGGGTTGAAAAGACGCTTGCGGGGTGGAGCGAACATCCCGAGGGCATGGGGGTCAGGATGCGGACAAAGAGCACCCTTCGGCCTGGTTCCATGTCTCTCTGCGTTGGTTTTGGGGCGAGCCTGCTCGACCTCCGCTGCTGCAGGGAGACGGCCTTGAAAGACCGGCGAAGGAGAGACCCGAGTGCGATCCACGCTCCTGCGTCTCCCAGAGGCTGGCTGTCCTCCCCTGGGACCCATGCGGGGAAGCCATGGCATGTTGCCACAGCTTGCCCAAAGTCGCCTGGTAGCTGATGGCAGTGACCCGTCTCTCCTCGCCGATGGGGTCCGTGCTGGGCCTTTCAGGAAAGCACCGGGGGTCACAGGACCGTCAGGGTCTGCCCCAAATGAGTATAGCCGACGTTAATAAAAGAAATAATTTGGGCTGCTAAGGCAAAAAGGTTCATGCCTCCAGGTCAGAGGCTAAAGCAGCTTAAAATTAGAGGGCCGAAATCACGCTCCCCACCCCAGTGACCTGGGGCTCTGCGTGCACAGCCTGCAGACTGCCATAAATCTCCCTTGCTTGCTTTGACGGCCGCATGGCTGAGAGTAAGCAAAACTTACAGGCATCCAAATGCCAAGCCTCCAGGTAAGATGCCCGCCAGAGGTTTTGGAAACATCTGAAGCCCCAGGTGCAAGTGGAGGATGTTTGCCGGTAGTAGGGCCACTTATGGTTCTGGACACTTGGACCTGGAATTAGTTTCGGCTAATTTGGCCTCGCATACAAATAAAATATCGTAAATCTGGGGGTGGCCCTGGCCACGTGTTAGGACATCTATAGGACAGGGACAGACCAGCTTGCACTCATAGCAAATGCCTTCTTGCATATCCAGTGCTGGCATCCTCATTGTTCAGGGCACAGGCTGCCCATGGCTACAGTCCTGGCCTTCTTAGGGTCCCAGTCAGACCATCCTCGTGCCTTCCCTGCTCTGACAGGACACATGGTGGGATAGGGTGGTGCCAAATGATGGGTATTCAGCCCCAGTTAAAGACCTTAGTATGGATGCAATGGGGACAGTGGTGGCAAAACAAGCAGGGCCCCACCACCCTGCCAGGAAGCATTACTACTAGGAACTAGCTGAGGCAGATGTAAGTGGCTGGAGGGCACGGGGCCACCTCCTGCCAGCTGCTTTAGGACTCTTTGCCTCATGGTGCAGTCTATACGGGCAGGGGCAGAAGCACGAGGGACAGAAAAGCAGAGCCTGGCAGCAAAATGAAAACAGTGCTGTAGAAACATTGCTTTCAAGAAACAATGGTATTGGATGTTAAGATGGACCGAGTAGCAGGAAGGTAGTTCAGCACTGGACCAGGACCCCTGCTGGGTGGTACAACCTCAGTCCCTGAGAGTTTGTAAGAACAGGTCAGATAGACAGCGGGCCGGGCTGGTCCAAACAGGGACGATTGTGCCTGGAGGCAGAGGTGGGCCTGGATGCAGTGTCCTAGGAGCTCAGCTCCTGTATGCTTTAGATTTTTCCAAGTGTAGGGATCCTAAACAATATAAATCGGAGAAATGCTAAACCCCCCCCCAAAAAAAATTATGATTTTTTTTTTTTTTTTAGTTTTTTTCCAGAAACTCAATGAACTGGCAAGGCTGTCCACTGAACTGCACTGACCCTCGGAGGTAGTCTGTCCCAGGAAAGACTACATCCCATTTCATTAGTGAAACAGGACCCCATGAACAAAGCCCGAACCCCAACTAGACAGTCACGGGCTTTTGGATACAAAGGTTTAGTCGAACTCTGTCAGTGTTAATTTTTCATGCATAACACTTTTGTAGAATTGTGGCAAAAAAATACACTTTCAAGTTATTACTCCCCCTGGAAAAAATTCTGAATAAGTATTAGAGAAAGATGCAACAAATGCTTTTCCTAAACAAAGTAGTTTAAAAAAGTTTTGATTTTAATTTTTTGGGGGGTGGGGTATCAAGTCAGGTCAGCCCTGAGGGCGCTGTGAGTGTTACATATACACATACCACTAAGAAAAATTAAGAGGAAATGTGTAAGTAAAAGGAAAATGTGGGAGGGAGAGAGAAAAAAAGGATAAGAGTCAGATTTATTAAGACTGCTTCTCCCCCCGTCCCCCTTCCCCACAACACCTCTCCTTTGTGGAACAGAATGTAAAAACCATGAGCAAAATTAAAGGTCCTTCCTACATCACGTTTTTGAACTTCCTAAAACTTTGCCGTGGGAAAGA